GAGCAAGATAATGAAACAGAAGCAACTGCTTCATCGATTCAACCAGATATGTTTATTATTGGACGAATATTTCCAGATTCAGAAGTATTTAAAGAAGGGGCATTTAAAATTGAAATAAAATTAAAAGGAGGGTATCCATTTGAACCACCTGAAGTACGTTTTCTTACTCCAATTTATCATCCAAATGTTGACAAAGATGGTAAAAGAACATTCTTAAAAAAGTTATAGTTAATTTTTATCAAATATGTTTTTTAGGTACATTTTCTCATGAGTTATTAAATAAAAATGCTAAATACAAGACTACAATTACTTTGCATGAAATTGTGAAAGCTGTGATTGAACGTATTGATCAACCAGATCTTCTGTATCCACTTCGCGCTGGTTTGTGTTATTTAATCTTCATTCTAGTTGTATTTTTTTTCTCTTTTTTAGAGGTTGGTCGTGAATATGCCCAGAATCGATCTGATTTTGATCTTATAGCACTGGAAAATGTCAATAAACATGCTTTACCACGTCGCTAAAAATTTTATTGAGTTACTTCATACAACAAACTAAACTTCTAGTTTTTATTGTTTAATGTATCCTAGACCGTTTTGTTTCATTTAATAAATGCAATTGTTACCGATTTAAACAGCAAAAAACATTCAGAGTTTCATCATTCAATTTCACAACAGATATCTTTATTCTACAAAAAAAAAGTAATTAGTACAATTTAATAAACATGATATTTTTCAGAACCACAAAATGAGATTGTGTCATCTTATATTTACTTATATTCGATCTACAAACCACTGACTATAATAATTAACAAGTGTAGATTCAAATATTATTTCTGATACCATCGTTAGGTATGCGAGAAAATTAAAACGAAATAATATATGAAACATATTTACATTATACTATAAGTATTATGTTAGTAGAATTCATTCCAACGAAGAACAGAACTTCTTTTACGCGTCGATATCGCTCATATAAGGCTATGAACATGTAGTCGGTTGATTACACTAGGAAAGTTGATAAAAACAACTCTATGAATAACTATAGTCAGCGTACTGTCGAACTTCAGATCGCCCATACTGTATGTGCTGATTCTGCTTGATTTATTGATTTGATTCTTTGTTTTGAACTAATGGAAGTTCAATAGAAGAATTTGAGTATTGAAAATGATTAAATGTAGTTTAAAATTGAGTGAGACATCCTGCAAAGATATATTCTAGAACTGCAGTGTTTCCTTTGTACTACTCTCTATAATTGTCACCGATGAAGTTCTTAGTAGATTGATAAGAATATGTTGATTTTCATAATGAGCATTGAATGATTAAGATTTCTTTCCAATTTTGTACTGTATCAAGTAAAAATATTCTGGATTTATTTAATCATCTAAGATTTTAGATAAATATCGATGAAGGTAAAAGCATCTGCTAATGAATGCAAACAAAAAATCTTTTTTGTTCATTATAAGATGATGATTACTGTTTAGCTTAGTTAATTCTCTCAAATGAATTAATGAAACCATTTGTTCTTTTCTTTTCGGAAGATTGCTCTTTCAACCAGAGAACCCATCGACTCATTAAAGAAACTTTGAAATCAAATCTCAATCGATTAATCAGTTTTAGAAGATTTCATTTAACGATAAGTCTATTTAAAATACATTAATTGCTTCGATAATAAATAATTTAAATACTTAGATAAATGTCTTTTCCTACTAATAACCAGAGCAAATACGGTCCTTACCTATTGCTATTGACTTTAATAGAAGATGTGAGGGTAGGTGTATGGGTGTGGACGAAGGTAGAATTCTCCATAAACAACTCACACGATCATTTAAACTCACATCCACAACCACCCACACCAACATCCTCGATCAGGAATCAAATTTGATCATTTAACTGAAACTGCTCTTGCTGATTAATTTTAATGATTAACATACTTGTTGCTATGATTAATGTTGAACGAGAACGATGTATTTCTATGACACTCGCGTATGTTTTATTTATCTCAATATATGGTTAGTTTTCATATGCATTTTATTTCGTACGATATTTGACAGGCTCTACCTCTGATCTTTGAGCAACAAAAGATGCATTTTTTTCTGAAATTATACTCTAAAAAACCATGAGGCACGATTTTTTTTAAATATCTTTGTTGAATAAGCCTGATTGGTTCAATAAAATTTCTTTTTCTTTTAAAATATATAAATAACATGATATTATTCCATACTCTGAAAAAACAATTATGATCCAAGGATGTGGGTCTGGGGTGTGATTGTGAATGACTACGTGGGAAACAGGGTGGAGTTGGTTGCAGTTGTGGCTGTGAGTGTGAATGTAAGTGTGTTTTGATTCCTCTAAGAACCACTCCCACATCCATAACTAAACCCAACTTAAATTGACTTGATTCTTTCTTACACATTTATGATTCCTTCATGCCAAAATTCTAAATAATTTTCTTGAGTCTGTCATATTAATCGTCGTACAACCATCTCACTAGAAAAAAAAGTCAGGATTACTGACTCAGGAATCGATACTTTGTATTGGATCATAACATCGACTAATATGTCATCGAGAAACCTTTTGAACTTTCTCGAAATTTGCTAGGTCGTATGGTCGACTGCTACATCAAGTTTTTATTAGAAGGGACAATGTCTGAGTGTGGGCATGGGTGTATGTATTCCATGCTTTAATCAGCCACAACCACATGCAAACCCTTCTGGTACTACTTACACCCTCTGGAAGACTCAGTCTCTCAACCAATCGTCATGGCTGTAGTCGGCATTGTTAGTAAAGTTGACCCTTTTATGGTAGTCATTGCATAAGTAGTTAGACTGTTGGAACGCTGATTTCATTACTAATTGTATGTGAAATTACATGAGGATGCTTCATGGTTATTCGTCGGTCGATTTGAAGGTACAATCCTATCATCTTCTCTAGCCAAGAAATCTGTTAGAAGCAACAATAAACCGAAAATGAATTTTTTTCGTAGTATTTAACAATCAATCATAACTTGATACAAAATGCTGACCGGTCAAATATTTATATAGAGTGAATACGATGGAAAATCACTTGGCAATGAATGAGAATTAAAGACTGATAGTTTAATATATTCTCATATTATTCAAACAAATATGAAGCACATCATATTTTTTACAAATGAATAGTAAGTATAAAAGATTTTAGAAATGAACTATAATTTGTGATGAAAAGAAACATAGTTCTCCCTGAAAAGACCTTGATAACACTCCACGAATTAGAACTATAGGTTAACGAGCATGGTGAGCGTATCCAGACTGATGATAAGAAATGGTTGGTCTCGAATCATCGATGCATCGTTGCATAAATTTGACTCACAAGAGCAAGTGATAGAATCAATTCCTGATGTAGTTGTCGTTTTACATCCATTTACATTTAAGCAGCCACTACCGGACACTCACAAGCGAGTACCTTTGTTCATCGTCTTTTTCTTCTGGAAAACGAAATGAATCATGATTCTCAGATATAACAGATAATAACAAATTATCTTGCGAGAAATGCTTACTTCACAAACTTGACCTGGTCCGGCTTCGACTTTTTGATCAGCAGTCATACTATTCGCATCGAATGGATCGCCACAACCGGTAACAACACTATTATCACAGATATAACATTGATAGGTGCTAACAGTGTCGATGAATCCTAAATAAGAAGAAAATTGAGTGAATTCTGTTTTATCAATAATCAACAATAGTTTTACGGAGGACCAGTAGAAAAACAATGGCTGATTTCATGATTTAGTTTGTATTAGAGAAAGATCTGTATTAGTTGAAAACGAATTATAATTATAACTACTATATATACAGATGATATTCTTTTTATCAACAGATATGATAAGAGTTTGTCTTGTTTGCTGTCAACATGAATTTCTTCAGGTGAAACTTAAACATATTGTCGCTGCACTCGCAGATCTCTGTTACTATTTATACATCTGATAAGAAAATCAATAAACGCGCTTAGTGCACTTTTGAATGCAACAAGTGCATAATACTTCTGTTCTAAATAGATTTGTAATTTTGACATTCTGGCTTCGTTTAATTTTCAATCGCACTCACGCTAAACCAAGATTAAATCTCACTGTAGAAATACTATAAGAAAATGGCATACTTAAAGTAAAAATTTGAAAAGAACTGCGAGATCGGACCAAATCTGACGACTTTTCGGACATAGTCTGTGTTGTTCAGAAAACAGGTTATATTTTCCATAGGATCACAATCGAACGAAATGAATATTCTCAAAGAGTTATTTCTTAATCTTGATGCTTATCAGTGCTCATTCGTAATGATTTTCTCTCAATTTTTTACTTAAAATAATTCTAAACAAAGGCAATTGATATCAAATCGTTACTTTTATTTCTCCTTTTTATTTCTATCAATTAATTTCAATCGTCAATCTACTGTGCATTGAAACTTTAGGCCTCTATGTTTTTTTCTTAAGATTTTTTTTCAACTAAAATGAAGGTAAATTTTTTTTTTCGTTGATGAAAACAGAAATGTATGCATGCTCATTTGCTTTTTTAAAAAGAAAGTTTAGTTGAGAAGTCAAAAAGACAATTTCAAAATCTTTTGTAGATTGTTCTATCATTTTTTTTTTGGTAACAAAACATTTTTAGTTATGCATTCTTGTTTGAAAGTAATGATACGAAAAATTTTCCGCCATAATTTCAGCAGTAATTTCTGTCCGTTGCAGTTTCTATTTTACTTCTAGATAATAGTAGCAATGCTAATTAAAATTTGTAATCAGTTTATAGAAATAAATTCCAAAAAAATATACTGTAATCTTGTGTCGAAAAATTGATTTAAGTTAAATGTTTGTTACTATCAAGCATGTCAGTTAAATTTAGAAAAAGTTTGATCAAAAAATTTTCAAGATTTTTTACTCAAATATCAACATAAAAGGAATGCAACAACTAACTAATGACGTCGACGAGATTTTCTATTTTAGACGATGGAAGAAAACAGTTCGTAATTACATATTTTATTACGGCTATGCATTTATGTTCTTTAGTTTCAAACAAATAATTGTAAAATTAATTTCTCCTTTATTTGCCGATAAATAAAATTCTTCGATAAACAACCAGATAAAAAAATAACGGCAATGATAGTATTTTCTCTTTAGCATGAGGAATTGATATACCTTCATTATTTTTGTCCTCAGCAACAGTATCATATCAAAGTCAGCGTTAGTACAAGTAAAATGAACAAATTTTATAGCATTCGAGAAAATAGTGATCACTAAATGAAAGGGTAACGAGCAATAAAATCAAAAGTTCGTCAATTGGATGTATGAGAGTTCACCGCTGCAAGTCAGCAACCATTCGCCAGTCACCTAATGAATGACAATATGAAGGTAAGTGTTTGATTTCAACAGAGTGCGGGTTTTTTCTTGTTCCAGTTAAAACTCACGTCCACGTTCACCTTAAAAATTAGCGCAATTATTCTCGCTATTTTTGAAGAGACTTGATAACTAGGGATCATCAGTTTCTTTTATATTTGTCGACGTAGAACAACAAAAATTGTTTTTATTAATTACAATGGAAGGAACGAGTGATGTTGACAAGTAAATTGAAAATAGTTTCTTGAATTAATTGTTGATATATTTTGATTGAATAACTATCATTGAAACGTAAGGATATTAAGAAAACAATGAACAGACAAAACTAATCTGTTTTAAAGTAGCAATAGTTTTATTTTATGCTGTTCTTCTTCGAAGATGGAAATGATACATAAATAAGATACTATCCTTAGAAGAACACTATGAATAATATTTGTAAAAACATGTTGAGAATGGTCAGGCTTACATAGTATAAAATATAGTTGAACTATTTCCTTATGGTATCCTGGAGTTGTTAATATTTAATTGCATTTCCAATAAATACATCAAGAAATGCTACACTTGTCCGAAATTGCCGAACTAGTCTTATATTTGGATGGAATTTATTTGGTTCGTCTAATATTTCATTGATTTGATTCGATGTTTTATATAAAGCAACGAAGATATTCTCAGTATATCTGTGTATGAGATATTCGATAAAGAAAATATTCTATACCAATGAATCAAACATAGCCACCATTGATTTTATTTGATACTGTTTGTCAACGAACAAGTTTTCTATCCCATTTCCAGATGAGAATATTAGCCAGAATTCTTGAAAATGCTGACCGATGCACAGTACCATTGATAATTTGGGTGTGGTTATGATTAGGGGTGTGATGCCGGTGTGAAAATGAGTATGGATGCTGGAATATGTGAGTGTGAGTGCAGAAAACATCAGCAATGGCACTTGCATCCACATCAAAACTGACAGGCACGTATTCAACATGTCTATCATACATTTGGAAGGGAGATGTGTAGAAATGTCTGCCCTTTATGTCTTGTTAAATACATCAACAATAATTAGAAGCGAGGGTATATTAGTGATGGAATTTTTGAGAAGATCAGCGTAGAATCTATTCAAGACACCAGTTTTTTCAAATATGAAAACCGTAAATGATAGAAAAATGTCTCGAACACACCGTTTGTGAAGAAAAGATTTTCTCTATTTTCTAAATTGGTGGAGATATATATAGCCAAAAATTAATTGTATTTGAATCTCATGTGATAAACTATCTATCAATAGTACAGGCTAAGAAATTCTAATGCTTAATTTGAAAATAGTGAAATGTGGAATACGAAGTATGCCATACGCTTTGGTCAATACACAGTTTCATACGGTGAATTACTTCAAATTTCATCCTAATCAAGGATAAACTACCGATCATTTGATATATTAACACAATTTTGCCTCGTTGATATAAATTACACAATTTATCAAATAATGTAAGAAAATGTCGAAATTAGTTTATCTAACTCGATTTGTTCTACAGAAATGATCAGATTCATATACAGTTCTTCCGAGTTAGGTTCATTAACTCTTTGTGTATATTCAGTATTTTTCGACCGAATAGTTGTCAGTATCTAGTCATTTCTGCAGTGACCAGCGTGTTTTGAAATGCCATGATTTCCTATTATCCAGAGCATCAGACCATACAAATATATCATTAGCACTGATACCTGATCAATGCAGTAAGAGATAAGATGAAACTAGAGAAAAACATCCTTCTCGAGAACGTGCCAACCTATACCCTAGAAGCTGTCTATGATTTTCCTAGTACGCTGATTGAATACCATCTTTCTGATAATGTCGAGAGATTCTTTTACCAAAATGAACAGTGAAAAAACTTATAGATATTGGCGTGTAAGAAAATGAGTTTCTAGGATCTCTCTATATTTCGTGAGTGACCGTTCACAAAACTCTTAATATCCTTGTACTATTGAATTGATCAAACAATGCAATCCTTATAAATATACATGCGAAGATGAAAAGAATAGAGTAGTTCATAGTCAAATAATGCATATGTAGCAATTTCTGATTGAAGATGTGTTTACTCGGGTGCAATTACAGTTTATTCCTTTCTTCGTATCACAAAATCGCAAACAGAACGAAAGGAGAAGGAAAGCACCAAGAACAAAGAGAGAAAGAGATACGTTCGATGATATATGGTTACAACAAAAGGATAACGAATGTGAAGACGAAGGAAACATAAGCAAAACTGACAAAGAAAAGACAGAGTTAATGACAAAAGAAAGACAGAACATATGACAAGGGAACAACAGCACAAAAATGATAGCCTGTGACAAAGAAAATAATACAGTGAGGATAAAGAAAGATTAATCAACATCTATGAGCGTTTAGTTCGATCAAGCAGTGCAAGTAGATAATAGTACACACTAAACTCAACCGAGAAAATTATAGTGTAAGTTTATTTTTTTTGAATATTCGACCAATGACAACAGTTAGATAACGTTGCCACCCATCAGTGGATCATTGTGGCTATCTCCTTGACCACTATCACTCATCATTGGATCACTTTGCTTTCTACCTTCACCACTACTACTCATTTTTGGATCACTGTAGTTACTTCCTGGCCCACTAACACTCATCATTGGATCACTTTGACTACCCTCTTTACCACTGTCGTTCGTCAATGGATCACTGTAGCTACTCTCTTGGCCCCCGCCACCCATAGTTGGATCACTGTAGCTATCCGATGATGAACTCGATTGTTGGCTTGAAGATGACATGATTACTTTCGTTGTTGTAAAGAAAAAAGCACCTATACGCGTCGAAATTGCAAGTTGAAAATGATTAAGCTATTCAATACGCAGATGGGAGACTTAATATAGTAACTATCTAACGAATGCATCAATTAACACAATGAAACAAGCAATGAGAAGGACGTATATAAAAATAAAGATTGATGACTCATTTTTACCATAATAAATACATTCATTTCTATAGTTTGATGAAAAAGGTGGTGAGAGCAATAAGGACAAATTTATAAAGATAATTAACGGTATAATCAAATTCTTCCTACACAAAAAACGAATCTAAACAACTGCTTATGTCTTGTTTCTGTCATCTCTAAAAAAAAGAAGGCATAATTCATCAATAGTTAATTATAGATAATGCATGGAAAAGAGACGATCTCATGATTCCAAAAATAGTCAAATGGAATCTATATTCAAGATGGCTCAATTGTATCTATTCAGCAAATATGAGGTGAACAGTCAAATATTAAGCTATGGTAAGGATAATATCTGCATTATATCGAAAAAGAGGTGCAAGTTTTGATTATGATGCATGTACCACCTAGTGTCTAGTTCAGCAGCACTGACATCCTTGTTGACGAAAAATGTCTACGACGACTCTTGCCCTCACTTTTTTCTTCAAAATCGTTTTTTCTTCAAAATCGTTTTTTCTGCATATCATTCGTTGTTATGGATTCAATGCACTGATTTCAAATATACTATTTTTAAGCCAGAAAAACTGAAAACCAAGGAGTTTTAGAGATATAATGTGCAGTTGAGGAATGTTTGCGCTAACAGGATTTAAAAAACAATCGATAGAAGAACATTCTTGCAAAATGTGGAAATTGGATGTGAATAGTTTGCTCATAAATATAATTTTTTTTACCATTGTATAGAGCTTGGCTTAGAGGTTCAGAAAATAGACTTGATTTGCCTGTCAACTAGTAGTTTCATTTTGTTCGATAACAATTTTTTCAGTGACATCATGATTCTCAGACTAGTTTTGAAGCAACTGATTTTTCATTTTCTTTGAGAATTGTAACTAAGTTATTTATACCATTTGATGGACTATATCTCTTTATTTAAATCTTGAAAAAGCATGATTATCTGTTCTTCGAAAATATATGTGCATTTGACAAAATAATTAAAGTATTTTTTTTTTCGCCAAAAAGAAAATTCATTAGACATAAAATAATTGATGGTGTATTCTTCGAATATCAAGTATTTTGATTACATTTTATCATTGAATCAAAACACTAGTACATGAATGTTTCTTTTCTTTTTCTTTTTTTGTTTTGTTTTGTCTTATAAGACATTCCATTTGCCTGATCGTCGATAAGCTGAAAGAACTTTATGTGCTCGTCGTCGAATATATTGATTTGAATCTCGATTGAATTTTTCAAGTGCGTCTAAAACTTTCATTTCCATATGATCAGGCGAACCATCACATAATGTATGTAACACCTTGAAAATAATCTAGATTATTTAAAATAGTTGATCATGAAATACTCACTTGTTCTCGAACATTATCCGCTGGATCATCAATCATTTCTATTACACGTTCCCAAAATGCATCAATATCTTCTTTAACACGACATGGACATATTTCTTTTAATGCTCGTTGTCGTACAATAGGATCAACATGAGTTGTCAATGCTAAGATTGTTTTTATATCTTCAGTTTCACGACAAAGACGAAGAGCGTCTTTACTCGGTAAGTTGTTCATTTCAAGTTTGTCCAATGATAATGACATTTGCGTTACATTCTACACTACTATGCATAATGCTACATGAATACCTCTCATTTATTTATATAGAAATTGCTGATGTTGCACCGAGTTGTGTAATATTAAAATACTGGTGAAAATTGCGCAATTCTATTCAATGTTTCATCGTTATTTCTTCATTACTTTGATGTCTCGTCGAAATTACACTTAAAAAATGTTTCAAATATAAAATTTTGTTAAGGCTAAAAATGTAAATTTAGAGCAGTCTTGTATAAACAATAATTTATTAGAAAAGAATAAATTTTATTTTCCTAATACCCAAATTACATTAATAAAAATAAATTCAGATATCAAAAATATTACCGATCACAATTGAAGTATAATTCAAATGCATAAATTTTGCTGTCATAACTTTACAGATCTTTCTGAAAATCTAGAAATAATTTTCAGTCACTTTAATTATCCAAGAAATGTATGCTAGAGTACTACACTGCTATGATTTGTCATGCTTGAATTTACACTTCGACTCTTATTAATACTTCGCTATGCATATTGTATCATTTTCTTTAATCTAACGTATGAAATAATAGGTTTAAAACATCAACAACTGTCATTAAGGTTTCTCCATCTAACCTTTAAAATGCTGTATACGTATTAGTTTTCATACTTGTATCATTCACTTTCTGTTATCTTTGATACTTATACCGAGTATTGCAATAGTGTTTGATATGAAGGATGCAACTCATAATTTGGTGTTGAGATGCACTGAAAAATTCATTATATTGCGAAATGTACATAGGACATATTAGGATGTATAAATGAAGACGAGATTTTCACCTATATCCCCATCCATATCCTTATAGTGTTTTTACCTTTATTTTCAGTTGCATAGTTATGAGCTAGTTGACATTTTTTCAAAAGATATCTTAAAAATCAAAAAGATATTGAAACAATATGCGTTTTCTGGAAATAAATTTTATGGTTGCTAGAATTTTCTAAAAATGTTTCATCTTAAACAGATGCTTCCGTCATGAGATATCAACAATATTCAAAATATGATCGTATTTCACAAAAATAGTCACAATCAGGGTTGCCAGATCGAAAACTCAAAAATCAGAATTTTTTTTTCAAAATCAGAAAACCATCAGAATTTTTTTTTGCAAAATCAGAAATTAATCAGAAAAGTCAGTTTTTGAAAAACCTAGTGGTTATTATGGTATCATGTTGGTACAAGATGCTCTATTGAATAGCTGTTCATTAATTCATACTTTATTTTCAAAGATATTTCGCTATAAAAAAGCATAATACAATGAATATACTGTTTAGCTAACAAGGAAAAACTAATGAAGACACGTAGTGTCGAACTCTTTCGCTAAACTCAAAATTCGTTCACAAAAAAAGTACAAAAACAAATCACATATATACGATATAGGTTATAAGATCCTATGAAAGAAAAAAACTGATGATTATGTAACATAGATTCGATATTATTGTTCATATTTTCTATTTTTTCGAATTTGCTTTAACAAATGTGTTTGAGTTAAAAGATATTTATAAAATTGTTCACACGAATAATTATGATATGATTTAATTTTACTAAAAAAGCTGTGATATGATTTAGAAAAGTTCAGAATTCAGGAGAAAAGCAGGGAAAATTATCAAAAACAGGAAAAATCAGACGAGAGTGCGAAAATCAGAAAAAATCAGACTGTCAGAAGGAAATCAAAAAGGCATCCAAATTTCAGACACTGTCCTGACTTTTCAGACAATCTGGCAACCCTGGTCACAATATCGACTTTTACGCTTCTTCTTCTTCTTCTACAGAGAGTATCATTCAGATATGTTCCTTCACGAGACAGATTAACAAATATATTTATTGAGCATGATCTTATCATTAAAAAAAAATTATATTCTTTTTATATAAATTTTTACCCAGCGCGCAATTCATCAAAAATAAGATTCATTATTCTCAATTTTCCCATCACTTGATCTTATGATTGATGATCTCATCTTGATCTTGTTAAGTTTAACAATAAAGATCAAAGACATAAGAGCATGACTACTAATAATATTTCATAAATTTAAGTTTTTTTTTTTGTGCACGTGTCAAACGTGTGAACAGTCAAAGTGAGAAAAACAAATTATATTCGTGTTGGTATTATCACTATTTGCCATCTGTCATTGTTGATCAATCTGATTAGAATCTATTCACAAAAAAAAAAAAGAAGAAAAGCATCGACAGCTGCACAATAAACAATAACAGAAGAACGAAAGAAAAAAAAATTTTTGATCATATTTTTTCTTCCTCTCTTTTTCTTTCACCTTCGAAATCGAATAGAAAAATAGTGAATGACCTCTTGCACTCATTTCAATGCCAATCTATCATCATCATCATCAATGAATACAATTTATATATTCATATCTTTTCACATTTGTGATGTTGTATGACGACAAAATCTACATGTAATTTTAATCGACTTATGTATCTTCTTGATACAAATAATATTGAAGAAGCTCGTTTATTACTTAAACAACAAACTTTATTAATACGAAATAATCTTTTTGATAAATTTGATAATAATAATAATACATTACTTCATCGATATGTTCTTCGTAATCAAGAAGATGCTGTACATTTATTATTAGAATATGGTGCATCAGTTTATTCATTGAATAAATATGGTTGGTTACCAATACATTTAGCTGCTTATTGTGGACAAAATCATACTATAGTAAAATATCTTCTTGAATTCGAAAAAAGATAGATATTATTATTTTTATGATTTTTTTTTTCATGTTTATTAAAATATTTTTATTAAAATGTGTTGTTCAATATGAACTTAAGACGATTTTTTCGATTTAGTTTTTATTGTATCAGGAGCCTAAAAAAAAAATAAAAATATCAAGTTTTATGATTGGTATCAATATTTTAACATTTTTATTTGTAATGTTAATAAAAAATTCAACTGTTGATAATTAACTGTAGTGTAATTATTGATTATATATAAACATAAAACTACTTGAAGTAGAATATTATTACTTGATATTTTATTGAACCTGTAAGAACTCTAAAATTAACTGCTAAAAGAATAAATATTCATTTGAAATTTTGTCATCTTCTATTCTTCCGTTAGCGTTTTAAATCATATTTGTTTCATTACATTAGAGATATTGAAATGTGACTAATTAATCCTATCAAAATAGTTCAGCAAATTTCTTTAAACCATATTGAAAAGAATAAAGTGCAATTTAAATGAAATTAATTTATAGTTATCAACTTGAATGCAGCATCAGATACAGAATGATTATAGAAATCTCTTCAAAGTTTTTTTTTTCCATAAGAAAGACAGTTTTGAATTAACATTAATGACCTGAATAAAGACACACACTTCAAGGTGAAAGTATTCTCCTAACGTCTCAGCCATGCTTTAATTTACAAACTTGACCCTTTTAGTGTACATAATACTTAAGAAATGTGGCTCAGTGATACCATCAGTCCGGTTTGAGTTAATAACTTAGCATTATGTAAAATATTGGCAGCTTGTGAGCCTTTCGGTGAAAATCGATAAGATTTATTGCATCGGTAGCTGTATTAAAATGCTACATAATAATAGATTTGCCGATTCATCAAAGTTTTTCTAGTATCTATCTTTGAGACTCACAATAAGAAAGGTTTTCATGGATCGTAACTTCTTTTCAACTCAAGCGAATGAAACCGTCAGTGCCCTACATTTCTAAGGTAACATTTAAATGCTAATAATTTCATATATCTTTCCATAAAAATTGCTGAGAACTGAGGATCAAATACTTTTAGTCAGCAATATTAGTGCTACACAGTATCTATTTGACAGTTTTCATAGGAGTAAAAATCTTGTAATATTAAGTTCTCTTTTCGTGTTGTTATTTGTAGTGTACTATGTATATACAACTGTTTATTATAACGAATTGATTGATTATTCATTAGCAACCTAACAGAATAGGAATATACAAACGAAACAAATCCTTTTTTGAACTGTAATAGTACGAGGCTCTCTTCAGAATTTCTAGAAAATCGGTTTTTTTGTTCAGTTCGGTCTTATTGAATATTTCATCATCTATCCTAACGTTTTTGAATTTTTTCCTTGTAGATTTAAAAGTTTTGAAATTTTTATACTCTTCAAAAAACTATTTCTTATTCAATTCTTTGATATATTTTTCTTACTTTGTTGATATAACCATGATTAATTAAAATCATTCGACATGCATTATTAATATGTTTAAATCGATCATTATGTAAAAGTATACCACCAAACCATCTTGAAACAATAACTAGTACATTTTTAACATCTGCAATCTAAGAATATTCTATATTATTTTATTTATTTCGTTTTCATGAATTTTTGTTGTTTTGAAACTTACATCCATTAAATGAAGCATTCGACTAGATGCACCTGTTTCACCATCATCATCACAATCTGCCAATATTGCATTACGTTTTTCATCCCATATTCTATACATACAAGGTAATTCTTGCATAAAAAAAACTAAAATCTTTTTACCTATATGCATACATATTATGAGTTGCATTAGCAATTTTTTTATTTTCTTTTAATTTATTAATCACAAGTTGAACTTCTTCTTTACTATGTACAGGACTTAAATGTGCTTGAAAAACACTTTTACGATCTTCAAATGGTTCATCACTATATATAGATGGTAGATTTGTTTCAACTACTGATGATAAACATTGATTAACTATATTAATAGAATTGTATTTTTAGAATATGCAATATGATCGTACGTACCGATTGGTTCAGTTGTAGTCATATGAACAGCTAAATCATAAAATTTTTCAAATGTTTTTTTCAATTAATTAGATTTACTTTCGCCTATATTTGATGGTTTATCAACAAAATCTCGAAGAGCATCGGCCCATAAAAAAGCTATTGGTTTACCAATATTTTCTCTAGAAAAATAAAATAAAAACAGGGAACGTGTAAAACTAAAACTTTGCCTATTCTTAAAATTTTTAAAATTCATGTATCATTCTATCTAGAATTTACTGATCATTGTTGACATGGCTACCGAAATAGCGAAGTATCTTCTTGATTACTTTCTATGGCAATGTATAAAAAACTCTTGATACCATTTATTTGTCACTCTATTGACGGATAAGGATATTTTAGCTAAAACTTCGGTTATGATCATAGATTTACCTCTTGATATACATTCATAGAGGTCTGTTGAAGTAAGTGTTTATGTACAAATCCATAGTATTTTTTAAAAATTCGAAAATCCTATGTCTATCAAATTGAAAAAGTTCACATTACTTAAGGATTCTATGCATATTACTCTTGAGATATATTTTTATGTCTTTTTGGTTGATATTTGAAATCGCTATTGAAAGTTGAGTTGGAGAATCTCTTTTTATTTTTTAATATCGTTGTACTGCATTAGAACTTATTTCCCAGTGTTGAAATAACTGTTTCAATTATCTTTGAGGGAGATAAGGGGCAAATTTTTTTTATGAAGAAAAGGTTTGGAATACAAATAGTTTGATTCAATTTTCAATACCATATTCCGAAAATCATAGTAGATTTGACCCAGTTTGTAATTTTTCTGATCGCAATCGAACAGGTATCAACCAAAAAGACACAAACATATGTCTGAAGAGTAACATGTGCATAGAATTCTTTAAGTGACGAAGATAATTTTGAATTTAGAAAATATACAATTTTGTAGTTTTCGAAATATGCTATCGATTGGTATATAAAGATTTACTGCAACTGACCTTCATAGTGTGTAACAGGCGACAAATCTGTGAAAGTACTGAAGAAGATACATCGCAATTTCGATGATCATGGTCATTAATAGTTTAGACATGATCCAATCGATTTGAAATTACTATCGAACGACTCAGCATTTGATTCTAGATCGAATGATACATAAGTTTGAAAATTTTAAGAATGAATCGATTTGTGATTTTATAAGGTTCGGTTCTATACACAAGAAAAATAACTTATCGTCGTACAAATAAATATTTTCTAGAATATTTGTTAATTCTTGCCGTTCTTGACCTCTTAACCATGGTGCTCTTCAAAAAAAAAACAAAATATATATATAAAGAAAAATGTAACCATCAAATTCTACCTTATATTATAAATAAGTGGTCGATCTGTTGGATAACCATCGACAAATGTTAATTCTAAACTAATTGTTCGTTCAGGTCGTTGATGAATCGTTAATGTATATGTTCTTTGAGTATCATTTTCATCACGTTTCCATTGTTTTTCATCAAAAATACTATTTAATGCTTCGATTTCTTCAGCTTGAAGTTGAACCCAACTTTCAGACATCTTCAACACAAGAGACAATTATGAATAGAAACAGTATTCAAATTAATTTTATTTAGAACAAAAAAAAATTTCATTTTTTTATTATTATGTCAGTACAATATTATATTATAACAACAGTAAATCATCGTGTACACATATGTATGAAATGATCGTGATAACAGAATGTGAATTGATTTGTTAAACTAGAAAATTTAAAGAGAAATTTTAAAAATAATTCGAGAAAAAAGTAGTCGATAGATTCAATCAAACGTAAAGTTGAAAATATTTCTATTTCATATTTAAAGCATCCAAAACTCATTCGCTAGCTCGATTTTCATTAGACTTCGTCAGTTTCAAAATTTTTACACCTAAAACCATACTTCTAGTTTCAATTAAATTGTTTAGTCTAAGTCTAATTCTTGACCGTTGGTTACTTTTAGAGTATGATCCGAGTTTACATAGAACTGTGTTTAAGATGTTCGTTCACAAGTGATCTCTGTACGCCCTCAACTTCTTCGGGAAAATCGTCTTTTTATTTTGGTTTTGTTCAATCCACTTAGAACAGAATTTCTCTTTTGAAAAGCTCATTAATTGAAGATACGAAGTCTAGAAATACTCTATAAGAGCTGGTGCATGCGAGACATATAAGTAGAACTAGCTTTAGGACAATGTTGCTCGAAAACCTGATGTTCTGCAAAGATAACTCTGTGTTGAATCGCCATTCTGTCTAGAGCTACATCTAGACATAGTCGTAGAAGAGATATCGAGCTACAGAGTCTGTTGCAAAGTAACGGAAAAGTTTTTGTGTCCTAAAAAGACTATTGTGATGATTCATAAATTACTATACTTTTCATTACTTCGAAAAATGATTTTGTCTTTGCTAGACAATATATCAGTGATGGTTGATTGATATTTTTGTTTAATAATAAAAATCAATATTATAGTCCACTTACTTGATTACGTTATTAAATTCATTCATTAATCTTTCTTATTTTAATTCTTCTATAAACCAACAAGATAAACATTAAGTTTTAGTAAATAGTTTCAAATACATTGCTTGTAATCCAATATATTGTTTAGAATTTCAGTTACGTGCAAATCAATATATATTACTATTGTCATCATATTTCGACCAAACTAAATCAAATATCATTTCTAGGAATTCAATTTTTTTCTCTCGCTTGAATTTTCTTTTCATAATCATCGATAAATAATCACTCATTTTGTTTTTTTTTTTCTAAAACAATGAAATTTAGAAAAAGTCCATGCTATTTTTTTTTAATTTAAATTTTATTTAACAAAATCAAAAAAAGAAATATCAATTATAAGTCTATTTTTAAATGTTTGCTTGATGGTAATGACATACGACAAACAAATGATCGAGGTATTAATTTATCCCAAAATGTATTCTAAAATAATAAAACAATATATTGATCTGTATAATCTTATAGATAATAAAAGAAAAATAAACTTTACATTAGGTGGACATGATTTTCTTGCATAAGTTTCCATAAAATAGAGACATGATTGAAGACTAACACCAATTAGAAGTAACAACCAAATAAGTATATTATACATTGCACCTTTCTGTCGTGGTAGGAAAAGTTGAAAAGCCACTGAAAATAAATTTTTATTAAAAAACAAACAAACAAACTAGAAATGAGTATTGGGCAGTTTTTTCTGTCCTATTCTATGTCTATTTCCGTTAAGAATGCTGTTTTCTTCCCCTCGATATTTCATATGAATATATCTACTTACATCCAACAACTCCAAAAAGTAAAAACATCACTGGATAAAAAAATCCAAGTGAAAATACCAGAACATATTCATGAAATATAGCTGATAAAAGTACAACACAAATAGCAGGAATAGAACGATTTTTTTGACCGGTTAACTATAAAATACATAAATTTATAAATTCATTCAATAGAAATTCTTAAACAATTAATCTTACAACATAAATTTCTTTATAAACATATGTATAAAACCAATCATGTAAAACAACATTCCATGTTCGATAATAAGCTGCAAATGTTGTTGAATTCCACCAATCCTAAATTAAAAAAAAAAAAAGAAATCATGTTTAAAAAAATCTTTTCATATTCTTCTTTTACATTATAAAACATTCGATCAGCAAATCTAAGCATTTCTGCAAATGCATTAAGCCAACAATGTGAAAAACCATAAAAACCTATTTATTAAATTTTCCTTTTTTTTTTTTTTCAAATTATTTTAAATATTTTTACTTAATAAAAAAAAAAGACTTCCAGGCATAATTGAATCAAATAAAACTGATATAAACATTGGTAATGTTATTTCTGTATGTTTTAAATTTGCATATGTTGGTATACAAAAACGAACAACAACATAATAAATATAAAGCATAGATGCAATAAATTCTCCAAACATTTGTAAAACAAAATTCCATCGAATTATTGTATTACGTGGATATTGATCACGATAAATTAATGTTGGTGCAAATAAAAAATATAAATAATAAGAAAAATTTGGATAATGAAATTTTTCATCATTTATTTTCGATTCTAAAAATACAAAAATAAAGTAGAAAATTTTTGTATGTATATGTGTGTGTGTGTTTGTTTTTTTGAATAAAAAAAACTGAATAACTTCAATTTTTCAAGCGAAAATATTAGTCAAGCATTTAAGTGGTTGTTTCGTTTTTAAATTTATCATTAGAATATTATTAGCTGTAGTTGTAGCAACTTTAGTGCTCTTTGTTTCATAACGAACCGACTGATAAAAGAACTTTTTCAACATTTTCACGAATAAATGCATGAGTTTTCATTAATTGTCGAAGCTAGAAATGGCGAAGAATATAGAATTTGATGGTTAGGATAAAATTTTTAGATGCTTTCCTATAGGAAAAATCGAAATTGCAAATGTTATAGGAGACTATTATGAGTTTAATGATAATAGAAGGTCGTATGCTTGTTAAAACACATTATTAGTCCTACAGCTGATCATTACGAATAAGTTCAATCGTCGTAAATGTCGCATGAAAAACTGGGATAACTCACTGATTTTGATCACATGAGTTTGGGGTGGGCTAACCATTGTTTGAATTACCTACTTAGTTTTTTTTTTATCCTTTTAAAACTAAGAGACTGAGAATACTCTCAGAAATGTATGTTTTTTTTTTGTAAAAACCTTCCTAATAAACCAGCAGTGCATCATAGTTTAAAACATAAGAAAATCAGATACTCTAAATATTTTCTAGTATTAGTAGAAGAAAGTTTCAGCTCGGTAAGATGAACTACGAGTGCGATTCCTTGCTTTTTCTCGTGGAAAAAAAATCATTTTTCAAAAAAAACCGAAAATGTTCGATTTTTATGGTTACCTATTCGTTCTCAAGATTTGTTCAATAAATAGAGTATAGAGAGAAAAATTTAAAACTCCTTAATCAGAAAAGAGTGATGATTCTCTTAAGTGCATCTTACTTGTTCAAATAAAACGATTAATGCAGAAGCAAATCCTAATTGATGTTTCATAATTTGACGACATGGTAAGACCAAAAATAAGACGATATAAGTTAAATACATAAGTAGCCATATTGTATCGTAAAATTCTTTGAAAAACGAATAAAAAAGATCATTTAATAATTGATTTAGGTTCAATTTTGAATGACAGTATTTTCCGTTACTTAATAAAAGAAACACTCGTACTAAGATATAACTTAGATTCAACAAAATATGGATTTAAAGACTTGAAAATGTTTATAATGCTACTTAGTTTGCTGTGTCCTCTTCACTCATGAATTTATTATGAAGCAACGTATAACATCTGATAAGTAGTCATTCCATTATAAAAAAAAACAAAAGCGTAAATTAGTTAATTCTATGATTCTCAGATATGTCATCATATTAGAGTTGATATTCGTATCAACAAATATTAATAATCTCACACTGATAGACCAAACTTAATCTTACATCATCACAGATGATTATTTGTCGTAGTACAGAAAAATGTCTAAGACGAAGATTATTAAATTAAACATGTAAAACAATTAATAAAAGTTCCTTATATTTTCGATAACAGCATTACATTTTTCTTTTTTGGAAAAACATCATAGTTCAATCAAATCATTTTTCATGTAAGTTTTGCTTGCATTGAACTATCTTGTAGAAAAAATTCGTTTCAATGTCAATTTTTGAAAAATTGACTCAAGTTTTGTTTATTATTGACTTTCAACTAAAAAATAGATTTTGAAGATAATCTATGTTAATGATATAAGCAGAAGAAGGTTGTAGGATAAAAACTCAATCTTCTGATTTTGTCTGTAGAAGGGGCTCAAAGTTCTTATTAAGCGAACCTCAAAATTTCTTAGGGAGGTCGAGTTTTCTTCAGACCTTGACAGGTACGAATACGTGTTTGTACACTCATGATTCAAATGCTCGGTACTCGTACTTGTCCATCTTTGGCCTTTTTTTAACCCTCAGCTAATTACATGGCTAATCCACGTGAAATTATAACTAAGGGTGTACGTAACCAAATTATTTTTAGGCCGAGTCTCGACAAATCTTTAAATTTTGATTCCGCGTATCTTTAATCATGACATGAATCTTTTTAGATTTTCTCTAATCTTAATGAAGTAAGAGTCTTTTCAAACTCGATTTATCTCTTGAAGAGTTTCTCTCTATAACCTTATATTTAAAAAACGAGATTCAACTTCTTACTTAAATCTTTGTTATGATTGCATCGATTTTTAGTCCAAGAATAAAATCCCATAAAAACAATAATTGCTGTAGATAATTGCATAATTAACCATATAAAAAGTGCAACATGTAAATCAGCAAAACATTTAAAGATTAAACCAAAATCTAAATTAATTCTTAAAAAAACAAATTTCTTTCGTTTTGTTTTTTTTTTATGTTTTAAACAATTCTTTTATACCTTCCATCTTCTATAATATCATTAATTGTTACTTGTATAACAAGTATAATTAATATAGCAATTAAAACACTTCGTAAACCTCGAATATGTGATATTTGAAATAAATCTGTTAAAAGTGAATTTCGAGAAATAAATATACGAGATTCAGTTATTTCACGATATGATGAACTAAATGATTTAGTAGTTAATATTGTTGAAGATTTCTTTTCTCGTAAATTTAAATTATTTTTCATTGAATCAAAATGTTGATTTACTTCATTTTTAAATCGCTGTAATTCGAATAAAATTTGTAAATGAATTTTCTAAATCATATAAATTTTCAAAACAAATCTAAATATATTCATTTCATACTTCTGTTTCTTCTTTAATCAATTGTGATTGATTATTATTCGATATAGCTAAAAATTAAATAATAAATTAATCTTAGGAAGTAAAATATTTTACTTGTTTCCATATGAACTATCTTGATTGTAAAGTGTGAAGATTTTTAATAGAAATTTGTAATAAAAAAATAAATCAATAGATTTTGTATTTATTGTCACAGTTTCCAAGTAAAAACAGAATGCACTTATATCCAACTGTCACCTTTTCGAATATTTTCACTTCGACGTGAAATACTTATTTATTGAAACCACTGCAAAATACGTTAATTTGCTTTGGGGTTAATTTTGATTGATTAAATAATTCGACCAATAAGGTGTTTTTTTTGTTCTAATCTTGAATTATGAATAATTAAAAATAATTATTTACCATGGTAGATTATCAATATTTCTAATTATTGAATATTATGCTTATTCGATGAGTATCAAAATTAGTAAAAACAAATTTATTTTTAATTGAATCAAATACTTCATAGGAAATTTCTAAGGATATCCCTTTAAATGTAAAGATCTTTGAAATACAAACAAAATTAATTAGAGAAAAATCTAGTTGTAGAACATAGATTGAACTTAAACTATTGTTATCTGAATAAATCTGCAGTCAAACATCAAAATTTATTATGATAATTTCAAAAAAGAAATGAGAACTAATTCAAAACATCTCAAATTCACTTTCAACAAATGAAAAAAAAAAGTGTATGACTTCAAATATATTCGAGCATAGTTTAATATATAAAATAATTATGATTAAGTACGTCAAAATATGATACCATTGTGTTTTCTTGTCCTTGTCATTAGTTCTCAAGGTCAATATTTAGTTATACATTTATTGTATCAAAAATAGATCATTTAAGACGAGTTATTATCAATACAAGAATAGATAAAAATCAATGATTTTCTGCTGCTAATTTCCAGTCAAATAGTTATTTATTACGAATTTAAATTGTATAATATAAAACTCTGTAATTCAATAGAAAATATTGCACATAATATGATTAATTTAATCTTAGAAAATATCTTGAATTTAATAGTCTATTGAGCAAATATATGTTTGTAAACAGGAAAGACTGTATACTGTAAGTTAAGAAGATTGATTAGATTCGGATCAAATGAATGCTCTTACTGGCTAAACGAACTAATTTGACATATGAACTGTTCATACCATATTCGCACCAAGACATTCACAATCTATATATTATATGACTATATTTCAAAATTTTAGCAATATTAATTTTTCTGTTTTTGTCATACTTGGGTAGAACTCAGCGAGTTATACACAAAGGAAAAAATAATACTACGTATATACAAAAACAAATTTTTCTAAAAACGCCAAGATACCATTATTATAAAATATTAGAGTAATAGATAGAAAAATTCAGTTTATTTTTAATAACTCCACTGTGAATATCTCGATCAGAACATATACTACTAGTAGTTCATATGTTAAAATAGTTAGTTTAATACTAAGAACTTTTATTTGAAATATCTACAAGCTTTTCTTTTTTTTTTTTTTTTATCAACCAATCTATAAAGCTATAATAGTTAACACCTATTATAAATATAGAATTTTTTTGAGCAATTATAATAAAAAAATTAATTTTGAATATCTCATTTATCTGTATATCATCATTATTCAATTCGTCTAGAATAGATGAATACAAAAAAACACACACACACACACAACAACAACATAATTAGTTAAGTTTTATCTTCTTATTCGAATATTAAGGTCATATACATAATCGTTTTTTTTTTCTTTAAAATAAATATATATATATGTAACTTAAAAATGAAGAGAAAACAATTCTTTTTTTTTTCTTTATTAATTTGCTGTATCATCAGTTTCTAATAATTTATCATTAACAGTTCGTGTACCACTGAAATCAATAAGTTCATTACTTATTTTTGATAAATCACTAAATGATATTCGACCACGTTGACGAATTGCTTTTGTTACACGTTCCATTTCATCACGTGTTAAATAAATATATTTACCACGATCATCAAATAAACCAGTTATACTACCAGTTTCTTGAAGATATTTTAAACGATCAATTACATCCTAGAAATTAATAAGTTATCAATTTGAAAAATATGTTTCAATAGTAAAAGTTCTTTTTACAAACTTTTCAAAAATAGTTCAATCAAAATTTGTCATGAATTAAAAATGTTGCCTTCTATGAGATATAGATGACAAAGAAGTCAAATATGATCTATATTTTTTTTCTTTGAAAAAATATTGCTGTATTAGAATCAAAACATTGCGCGAAACAATATACAAAGGTGTCTCTTTCGAACAAATTTTTTGATACTATAACTGGATCTTGTTTTTTTTTCATCGAATTGAAACAAAGAAACATGAGTAAGACTATCATTTAAAAAAAAATGACTGTTGATCTAATGCTCAATATTGAATAGTTTTTGACATTCTTAAAATGATCCACCTAGATACAAATGTTATTTATTTTTTCAAGATAAGTTTCTCATGTATGAATAGTGCTATTATTAGGAACCTTCGGAATCAAAATTTTTTAACTCCGATTCTGACTTCAACAGAGTCGGAATCTCATACAGATTTTTAGCTATGATTAATTAAAACTTCTTATATGAATTTTGCATTTTTCAACTTGCATTGAAATTATGTTTAGTGAAGAGTGAAAATTTACTAGACTGTCTACCATTAAATAAGATTGAACATTACAGATCCTTTTTTCTTTTATGGAGAGTTTTATTCATTGATATTTATTGCGCAAGCTGATGTATTTTGGAAGTTTCATTTAGACAATACATAAAAGCAAAGTTCGATAATATTTTTTTGTCTGCATTAAGGGACATAAGTATTATTGAAATTTTTTTTGTCAATAAACGATAGCCTTATATATATCTCTCATGCTGGTTTTTTAAACATAAAAATGTTCTCATAAATGACTACAATGATTGTAAAATTCCATTGTGTTTTATAACAGAAATATTATTTCTAGTTGAACCTAGACGCAATGAGATCTGATTGTTTTCATAGTTGCTACTAATTACACTGACATCCACATTGAGGTGTTAACTTTATAAAAGAAAGTCAAATGCTTTTTGTAGCAGTATGTTCCAATGAATACTGAGTTCAGTTAATCTGAAAGTGTATGTCCGTAGTTTTGCTCTTACGAAAAGACATGATAAACCAAATTAAAAACTTCTATATGTTCTAAAGTTTTTTGAAAATCTTACTTGCGTTCGAAGTTTAAATTGTGCAGCTAATTCATCAAGATACATAAATTTTGCTGTTTTAATATATTCAACAAATTGATTAAGTGCTGAGACATTCTAAATAAACAAAATATATAAATAATAATATATATATATATATTTACATCAACATCATCTGGATTTTGATCATGACCTTCTTCGTCAATAGTAAATCCTTTTTTTAATTCAAGATATTCTTCATATTCTTTACGTTCACGTTCTTCTTTTCTTCGACGTTCTTCTTCTTCCTTAAAAAAAAGTAAATAAATAAATAAATAAACGATCTTTGTTTATTTATTTAATATTACTTCTTCTTTTTGACGTTGTTCTTCTTCTAATTCTTTTTTTCGTCGTTCTTCAGCTAATTTTTCTTCTCGTTCTTTTCTTTCACGACGATCAATTAATTCTTGCTAAAATATTTCAAAAAAAAAAAACACAAAAACCTTTTTGTTTTTTTTATAAATTCTACTATATTACTTCACGTTGTTGTCTTTTTTCCGCTTTTGCTTCTAATTTTAATCTTTTCTTAGTACCCATTTTAGGATCAATCTCAACTACATCATTCATCGTTGTTGGATCAAAATCCTCTAAACAAGAAACAAAAAAAAAAGAAATTATAAAAGAAAACCAAAAAATGAATTTTAATTGTTTACCTGCATCATCATCATTATCATTTTGTGCTCCACCATCATATCCATGTGCTGGATTAAATTGTCTACGACGACGAACTTGTGCTGCTCTTGGTCGATCATTATCAATAGGACCTAATCGTCGTTGAACTGGAGGAGGTTCTTGATTTTTTTGTTGCTCTATATTAAATATAAATAAAATTTAAAATAATAATATCACAAAATTCATACCTGTTTGATATTTTCTAGCATAAAGTAAAGCTCCAAGAAATATAATAAGAAGTGCAATAGCAAGAATTAATATAACATCCATTTCTATTAAAAAATTTTGAAATAAACGTAATACTACTATTCTTTTTATTATATAGATGTATGTAACAATCTGATTGATGAATATGTTTTACCAATGAAAATCGACATTAAATATTATTGGTAAAACTTTCACATGACTAACTAAAGTCAAATGATAACACGTGATAAGATTTATTATGAGGAAAAATAAATGAAATCATCTGATTATAATGATTTTTAATGAAATAATTCTTTGTTTTTTTGAATATGACAATATTTTTCTAAAAATTAATATAATGTTATATATAACGTAATTAAAGAATTTTAATAATAAAACCAAATTCTTTTATTATTCTAATCAAGATAGAATTATTTAAATATTTTTTATTAGAAATAATCAATAAGAATTGTTTATTTTACATATTCACAAATTGTACTTCGTTCTGTGTCATACATGTAAACATCTAACGAATTTACAAATGCTTTCAATAACTTATCTTAGGTGTGAAGAAATAATTGATGTTCTACTAGAATTAATGATGTATTAGTTTGTACATTCAAATGACATAATAAATAATTTCATGTTATGTTATAACTGTAAGTTATATTTCCAATCATTAAACGAATGGAAAAAACTAACTACATTAAATTCATCTGATGCATACTAATATATTAGTAAATTGAATTACGTTATAATTCATTTGTTTTAGAAATAAAATGAATAATAAATAGTGTTACTTGAAGTTATTAAAAGACAAAGTTTTTTTTTTTTCTGTAACTCTTTTATCTATTCGAAACCAACTATCATCTAGCAGAGCCGATCACTTGATTCCTATTTGAGTGAATTTTTCTAAAAACCAAAAAAAAGCAAATAAAGTATTTTTTTAGTTTAAGAAGACTACTTGAGACCTATTTTG